GCTGGCGTGGTGGCCATTTCGCCTCTCTCTCCCCGTACGTGGTCCCGCTCTTGTTACTGAGCGCCATGGCGGACAGAGCTCGAAGGCGGAGATTGCAGGCTTGGCGTCAGGCGGTCGTTGCGGGCTTCTGAGGATGCTTGTGGTGGCAGGCCAGCCTTGGTCTTCCCTTATTCCAGCCTCCCCTGGTGTTCGGGTGGTCGGGACCAACGGCAGCAGTGGCATTTCGTGTGTCGGGCCAGGAGTTTGCGTGGGCGTGGGGGAGGGGGGGTGGGGTTGTGGCGGTGGTCTGGCCTGGGCGGGATTGCGAGTCCCGGAGGCGGTTTTCAGATCAAGGGTTCGTCTTTGGCTGTTGTTTCTGGGGTATTTTTCCGGTGGGTTGGCTTGAGTGTTTGCTTGGTCGTGTGCAGGGGCAGACGCAGACTCGGAAGACTGAGGGGGCACAAACATAACTTAGTGAAAAAATGATATTTATTCTCTACATGTTCTTATATTTTATATCACTCATAGTTACATAAATTCAAATCTCATTAAATATATCTTTTTCAAACCAATATTTTTTTTCTTTTTCATGGATATTCGTACATCGTCATCATTCATGGACTTTACTTATAATACAGATAAATATTTTATTATTTAAAAAAAATCTATGATAAACACAATTTAGTAGTTAGTTTTAAACTTATAATTATAATTTTAGAACACCTAAAACTCAATATGTATCAAATTAATATTGACTTTTGTGGAAAATCGATGTAATCATTTATATATGTTGCCTACAACATAATACAATAGTAATCATTTTTAGTGACGATAATTTTTATCGCTATGTTGCCAGAAAAAATACCGTCGCTAATAATGTCCTAATATTGTCGCTATATGTTCGAATGTCGCCACAATAATACCTCTTATTGTGACGGTATTTTTTGTGACGACACAGCGACAAAAATTATCATCACTAAAAATGATTATTCTTGTAGTACAAATATAAAATATACACAACTTAATTTTTTTTAAAAAAAATATCTATGTAATTATTTTACAATATAATTTATATATATACTAATTTTTGTAAAGAATTGCACAGGGGCCCGTGCCCCTACGGGCCCCTGCCTAGGTCCGCCCATGGTCGTGTGGGAGGTGGGGTTAATGTCTGGTGGGAAGGGTTTGCTATCTTTAGATTGTTTTGCGTTTTTGTTTTGTGTTGTTTTTGTTTTTGGTCAGTGTTTATGTTTCCTTTTTTTAGTTTGATCCGTTGGGAGTTTCTCTCTTTGTGGGAGTTTTTTTTTTTTGGTTAGGGTTTCTTTCTCCCCTCTATTTATTACATTAAATATTACTTAAATATTACTTACCAAAACTTATATGTACAAATATCTTTCTTTTGTCCTTTTGGAAAAAAATAAAAATTTGAGTGTCCTTTTTTTTCTGTAAAAGATAAAAAATGGTTTCCAAAGTTGGATGGAAAATCTCCCTATAAGCTACAAAATAATTAGTGCAAATTGTATACACGTGATAAATCAGAATTAATATAGAGAATAGTCTCGACTTCTTGCATGCATGTGACTATATCCAAGGATGATTGAGTTGATTCAAGAAGGATTATCTGACTGATTAAAGGGGATTAGAAAATTCGAGACTGGTAATTGTACCACATGGTCATGATTAATCCATTTTTCTATTGAGTAGTGTAGTTTGACTAATGCTGTTAAATTAAATGAGCCTAGCTCGGCTTGACTCGAGCTCGGCTCGTTAAGGCTCTCAAGTTCGACTCGAGTTCGAGGCCTTAACGAGTCGAGCTCGAGCTCATTACAAGCTCGTTTGGCTAACGAGCCGAGCTCGGTTCGGCTCGACTCGATAAGGCTCGAAAATAGAATTTTTGTATAATTTTTATAGTTCGACTCGTTAAAGCTCGAGATCGGCTCGTTAAGGCTCGAGCTCGAGGCCTTAACGAGCCGAGCTCAAGATCAATTTTAGGCTCGTTAAGGGCTCGAGCTCGAGCTCGGCTCGGCTCGTTTACAGCCTTAAGTGTGACTGAGATTATGATGAAGATTAACAAAACTTATTAATCCACATGATAAACAGCCAATATTCCCAGCAACATGTAGCGTGCCGGCGTGGCCTCTTTTCATGCATTGCCATGCTTGTCCAATTGTCCCACATTTCCGACATCTCACGACATAAACAAAAAGCCAATATTGTTGACTTTGTGCCAATATATCGAATTAAACAAACGGATAATATATATATATATAACGAAGTTTCGCTTGTGGCTGCGTACCCTTGTTTTTTTATCATAATTATTGCAAGGAAACATGAGCTTCCAAACAAATCTGGCTAGAAATCAGGGGGTGCCGATCGACGACAATTTGAGAACGAAGATATAAAATACTATTTGTGATATTTCTAGGTACGACTTATATAATTAGCTTCATTGTTGCCTTATACATATACACAGAGAGATAGGATTACATGAGAGTGGTAAATAGCTAAACAAATAAGAATGATTATGGACCATTAGATCCATCAAGTGAATAGTCATGATATCAAATTAAATTATGTGACAATCAAACATGTGGTGGCAATTTCGTAATTAAGTAGATATATTGTAGTCAAATATATAAATTTGATCATCCATTAAAGGTAAATTGGTCATTAACCAGCTAAAACGTAACCCACCTCTCTCTCTCTCTCTCTCTCTCTCTCTCTCTCTCTCTCTCTCTCTCTCTCTCTCTCACTCACACACACACACACAAACAAATCAAACACTTATTCACACACACGATGAGCCACTATCAGCCATCTGCTCTGCCGCCGGCACTGTTTGTCACCGCCACAAAATCAGCCAGTCACGTCGACACCGCCGCCACAAAATTAGTCTACCACCCCAACAGTAACTACATGAAAAACACTCAATGGCAATAAATACACATGACAACTAAATACCTAAGATTAGATGAGATAAAGTGTATGTCTTGGCGAGGTGGTGGATCGCGCAGCAGATTCGATGAGATCATGACCCTCAAACCGATGTATGTCCCTATCCAGAAATGTGGACATAAGGTAGGTCGAAATAGCCGCTGCATCATCATACATGGAAAGCTTGAAGGTTGTTCCAAAGTTAGGGCGTGGCTCGAGAGCCCTTGTTGAGGCCCATCAGGTGACTCACCTCGAGAGTGCAGTGGCTCGCTTTTTTGGAAAACGAAGGACCTTGGTTGAAAATTCACCTAACATTATTTTGGAGGTTATCAAAAGATCCGTGTAAACAATTATATAAAAAATAAAATAAAATAATAATAATAATAATAATAATAATAATAATAATAATTAAAAAACGTTGTTATCAAGAGCAAATAAATTCATCCAAATAATTACTACAATATCAATTACGTGAACACTAAAAAGACCCGATCTTTATATACATAAAACAATCCGAAAGTCCCCAAAATAAGTAATTTTCATTTCCCACTAATAATAATCCACAGGAGTATCCGGACAGCTCTCATCAGACAAAACATCCCTATTGAAGGGCGCAGGCACGTACGGTGGGGACGCGCACCTCAACAGCGCCCAATTCACCCCTTGAAAGAATGGGTGGTGCTTGACCGCCGACGCCCCCATCGTGGACCCCAGCCGCCTCCCCGGGTCCTTTGTCAGCAGCTGCGATATCAGGTCCTTCGCCGGGCCCGGGATCACGGGCTCCTTCGGGAACTCCAGGGCCCGGGCCACGATGTTCGCCAGAGTCACCTCGTGGTCGGGCCCGCGAAATGGGGTCACCCCATAGAAGAGCTCGAAGATGAACACGCCCAACGTCCACCAGTCGACCGCGCTCCCGTGGCCCTCTCCCGAGACAATCTCTGGTGCCAGGTACTCGTGGGTCCCGACGAACGACATGGACCGGACGTCCACAGGCTCGGCCACGAACTCTGGCCCCGCGTGCCTCCGGCCCGCCTTCTTCCTCCGGGCCCGCCTCGGGTGGAAGCACGACATTGCAGGGACAATGCAGCTTGGGAGGATGCACGAGGCCTGGCTGAAAGCGGGCGCATCAGGCCTGGGCCCATTGGTTTGAAGCCCGTTGGGCTGGCCCTGAGTGGGGATGAGCTGGGCCGGAGTCGAGGATGAGTCGTCACACCTAAGGGAGAGATCGAAGTCGGTAAGCATGATGTGGCCATCCGAGCGGACGAGCACGTTCTCGGGCTTGAGGTCACGGTACACGACGCCCAGCATGTGGAGGTACTCTAGGGCTACTACGACTTCCGACGCGTAGAATCTGGTTAAATCGCGAATAATGTTTAGTAAATAATTATAAGTAAGTTGATTAAGGAACTAATTTTAACATATATATGGTTATATAGACAAATGCTACGGTCCCGTTACAGTCCTATCTCGTCGGGTATTTTAACCGTTGAATCATCTATCTTATCCAACTACATGTAAATTCAACGGTTAAAACACCCGAGGGGATATTACCGTAACGGGACCGTAGCATTTCCCGATTATATATCTCAATTTCAACAATGATCTATGCATACAATGATCACTTTTAAAATGATGAATTATTGATTTGGTAGCATTCAGACAAAAAGAGGGGTTTAAGTGTCACACAGTAAGTAGACACAACACACAAGATCGTAACACGAAGGTGTTAGGAAATATTTTATTTCCTATGTATAATCTAATTATGGGCAACATATTATATACAATTATATTATATTAGCTATTCAATTAATTAATGGACTCAATTAAGTGATCTAAATTAAGTAGAGTTCATGGGCTACATAAATTGATATGGACTTAATGAGTGGATACCTAATATTACTAGGGTTAGGTGATAATGGGTGGCCTACCCTATTAGTATATAAAGACCCTCTTGGTTATGATCCCCAATACACTAAATCAAACATAGTTCTCTTTTCTCCCCATCAAAATTGAGAACGACGGTCCCATAAGAGGAATAAGGCGATTTAGTTGAGGAAGGCCATAAAACCAACACCGTTCGTGGTCGAGGATGTGTTCGTGATCCAACATGTTCCATGGTGATCAGATCTATAAATCCACCTAAGGTACGCTTCCGCTATCTAGTTTGATTCTTGATTATTTAATATGAATGCTCCTGGGATAAAGCGATGATTTTCGCATAAGGCTAATTCCAACAGAAGGACATTATTTGTAGTGAGAATATATATATATATATAATATATATATATTGTAGAGGATGAGTATGTGATATAGATTATTATAAGTAATGATATGGTACAATATGTTATTGTTAAGTAATATCTATCATGTGTTGATGATATGAAGAAGGGACCAATGTGTTTCCCAAGTGGTGAAAGGTGTTTTGTGGCATGTCCAAAGGGACCTCACACGGGAAGAAAGAAAAAAATACTATGTAATTGTCCTCTAAAAATCGACACTTTTTGTCGTTGCCATATATTCTTTAATTTCCATGATTTTGCAAACAAGAAGAATAGATCGACATAGCAAAAATGTTTAGGCAATACAATTCAATTTTTTTTTTCTTTTTCTTTTGTTTTTCTATTTTCAATCCAATTCCCCAAGTTAGGGGTGAGCAAAACGGAACCGAAACCGAAAAACCGAGCCGAACCATGCAATTCGGTGTGGTTCGGTTCGGTTTTTCTAATGTAAAAAATAACCAACCCGAAACGTGAATTTCAGTGCGGTTCGATTCAAATATTTTAGCGTAAAAAAATTAAGTTCGGTTTTCAATTCGGGTTTTTTTTTTTTAAGTTGCGGCGCGGTTTGGATAATTTTTTTTTTCCTGAAGTTTGGTTTTCAATTTTTTGTAGATTTTTATTTGAACTGCACTGCTGCTCACCCCTATCCCAAGTAGTTACATGTTTAAGCCCATGTTTTAAATACCGTACCGTACCGGCCGGTAATACCGGTAATACCGGATACCGGCCATTGGTACGGTACAAATGACCTCAAAATACCGAATTTACGATTATACCAGTTTATACCGAGATCATACCGTAAAAACCGCAAAATACCGGTCCAAAATACCGGTTAATTAAAAATAAAAAAAAAAATCAATTTAAAAAAAAATAAAATTTAAATTGATTGTTAAAATATTTTATTTTTATCTCATTAAAAAGTTGAAATTAATGATTATAGTCATTTATTTTTTTTTTTTACTTTAGTGTATTTGGTATTAAATATTTGTATGTATATTTATATTTATTATTATATTTGTTAATCCGACAATACCACTGATATTACCGGTCCGACCGGTAATACCGCGTACCGATGGCTAGACCGATATGACCACCGGTACGGTATTTTTAAAACACTGGTTTAAGCAAAACCATATGTACCAACTAGATAACACAAACATATAAATCACGGGTTCAACAAACTTTATAAATCATTGTTCGGAACAATTTTAAAAGGATCAGCCAAATTTACTCAAGCAACTCCACCTTATGAAATATAACGACAAGCCGAATACAACAAAAATATTCCATCAACACCTCCGCCAAGTGGAGACGAATACGTAAAATTCAAAGACACAGACAGAAACACTCCCCCTTGATGACCTATATAGTAACCACATTGTCCCTATCTTATTTGCCTCACTAGCTAGCAAGATTGTCATATATCCAATCTTAACAGGGACCTATATAGACTAGGGACGGACCTACTTGAGGCCTGGGCTGGGCTGAAGCCCAGGCCTGTTATTTTTTTTTTTAACAACTATTAGTTTGAAAAAAAATATATATATATTTTTAGTCCAGCCCAATAA